CGTCTTAGAGAGCCGTCTTAGATGGTTTGGTCACATTAAACGTTGATCATCTGATGATCCAATTAGGATAGATGTTGTTTTAGATTCGACTTATGTTAAGAAAGACAGAGGTAGACCTAGGAAGATTTGGGCTTATTGCATAAAAATGATCTTAATTTATTCAAATTAAATGAAAATGACACTAAATAGGATGCAATGGAGAAAATGATTCATGTAGCCGACCCCACTTAGTGTGATTATGGCTTTGTTGTTGTTGTTGTTTGTTAAAAGTAGGAATTTGTGATTTTGAAAATGTGGTCCAAGTCATGTAACAAGCAATAAGCTTTTTTTTTCTAAATAAAACTGTTGTTGTATGGGCAATTTCTTCTAGTTCTCTTATTGTTCAATTAGGAGCTTGAAGATTTTTAAGGGACCATCTCTTTGTTCACGCCGGAGGTTCATTTACTAGTCTTTTTTCTTTTACTTTGTTTGTGCTCTTTAAATATTGATTTGACTTGCATGTGAGATTGATATTTCATCAAATTTAATATAGTTTGTTTTTTTTTTCATTAGCATGATTTTAAATTTTATGTTTTGAATTTGTGCGCATTATTTTTAGTTATCATTTGTTCTAGTTTTCATCAAGTCACAAAAAGTGCCTAAATTCTGAGCTTGTGATTTGTGACTTTTAAGTGTATTTGAATGTTGTGCATCTCAGTGTAGAATTGTAATCGCCAAGGTTTTGAAAATTAGGCCTGGCATTAAACTGGAAAGAAAAGTTCAAGCAAGCTTCAAGATTCAAGTTTCAAATCCAGTCGAGGTTGAACTGAATGATACAATGAATATTAAAATTATAATATTATGAAAAAAAATGACATTATAATGTTACAATAATGATATTTCATCAATTTCATATAAAGTGTTTTCTCTCTCTCTCTCTCTCTCTCTCTCTCTTTCTATATATATATATATATATTTGAAAGCCCAAAAAGACACAAAAACCACAAATGTTCTATATATATATATAGACACACACACACATAGCGACACACACACACACAGTGACATACACAAATACTTGCCAAAATATTCAAAGCACAATTCTATTAGGATGGAACATCAATAACAATCAAAATTAGAAGAAATTCCACCAATTTCTCTTCCTATATTTATAAGGTATTCAACTTCAAATTTGATTATATAGATTTAAATAACTTTTTAATATTAATTTTTTATTTATCGCGATTTAATCAAAATCAAAAAGTTATAATTTTATCAATATTAGAACCAGATTGTTTATCAATAATCTGATTGGTTTTGTGGTTCAACTGCCAGTTTTGATTGGTCTGTGTGAATGCGATTTTGGAACTGGATTGGACCAGTATAGGACTGTTTCACAGTTGAGTTGATTGAATTGATTGGTCTATTCCAAGTTTTAAATCCATAGTAATAGCAAACCGAAGTCCTAAAGTAGCCTTGCAAAAATGGTTGTCATGCTCGTTGAAAAAAAAAATAAAAAAGCCGAGGATAGTAGATTTAAATTTCTTCATGGGATCATGTATAAATAATTAGTGATCATGTAAAAATAATAATTTGACATGCAATAGAATAATATTGGCACTTTCACTATAAATTCACTATAAAAAGAATCACTATAAAAAGAATCGTTTTATTATTACTGCCAAATAACGCATTTTCCAGACTGCTAGGGCTTTAAGCAGATGAAACCTTTAAACATTCAATTGTCATGTATAAACAAGTTATAGATCATGTATTACTTGCTTACTATGAAATATTTAAGCATACGTCATTTTAAATCAAACATGCTTTTTCAATAATTAACTTATCAGTTAATCTGTAAGGCCGTGTATGTTCTTTAATGTAATTGGAAGTTTCACTTCTCTAGTTTATTATATGTATAAGATGCATGCTTTAAGATAGCTTTTTCCAACAAGCTAACTTCATCAATATGCTTGTGTTCTATATCACACAAATGCTTACTTTTTTACAACTTTGTTGCATCACAGTGAGAAAAGTTATATTATAATAACGCATGGTTTGATACACCACTAGATTTTGGTTTTTTCAGAAGTTAAGAAGGTACGATTGATTTTTTTTTAGGAAGATTTACATACATACCACTTAGTACCCATGTATTTACATATACAACACCTAAACTTCAATTTTTACATACATGACACCTTACCTATGCATGAAAAGGTGTATTTCACTTAAAAAGTTAAAATGGTAGTGTATTTGATATGGTATCAAAGTTTTGTGGTATAAATGTAAAAAAACAAAGTTTAGGTTTTAGATGTGTAAATACACCAGAATCGGGTGTTAAGTATGTAAATGCCTTTTCTTTTTTTTATCAACTGCTTCAGAGTTAGCAATGCTGCCTTGCCAGCTAGTCTAAATTCGCATGGTCATTTCTAGGATGATCTGATTTGTGCTGACATTGTTATTATTTTAAAAATGATTACTTTTATTGAGCATTGTTGCGGCGTCAGTGAGCACAGTTAGGAAGTCTTGCTTGTCTGCCATGCCCTCTATTAATTACGTTATTCTTAATCTTGAAAATTAGTACACCTTGTTTAAAATGCTCGGTCTGGAATGTGTCTCTTCAGTTGGGCTTTTAGTACTCTGCTTAATCCAACAATACAAATATGTGTGTTCTTGAGAATACTTCTGGGAATTTAACAGGTTTTTGAGGTACAAAATGATGCCAAAATGAAACGTACTAGGCAGAGACCCTTACCTTCATGTCGTATTGGTGTTGCTCATGCAGTCATGTGGGCATCCAGTATGGGGTTTTCTGGCACAACTTTGTTGGCTTGGAAGGTTTGATATTAATGCAATCAATAGCTGTTTTAATGTGATTTATCAGGATTTCTTTTCTAGGGATTTTCTAAAGTTTATTCAAGTCATGTTATTTACTAATATTTGCAATAACTTTATTGACAAGGTCTTTGCAGGCTAATTACTTGGCCGCTGGGCTTGCGGTTAGTAATCTATTTCTTTATGCTTTTGTTTATACTCCCTTAAAGCAAATTCATCCGGCTAATACGTGGGTTGGAGCAGTTGTAGGTGCTATTCCTCCACTCCTTGGGTAAATTTCAGCTCTATTGCATTTTCTTCAATGAATTTCATGTTACAATTAACTTCACTGTTTGAAGTGTTAAATTGAATGTTCAATAACTTTTGCAATTGGTTAGATTGATATCATTGAATAAGGCATTAAGCACTACAATGTAGTATTTTACTGCTAGTCAAACAGTTTATGCTTTACTCAAATGGGATTGTCTGGGCGCTTGACCCTCACTCGCTAAATGTTTGATTTAAAATAATACCTAGTGAAACCCCATTTTGCATTTTTTTTGCTTTTCTGTATTCCCCGCCACCTTTTGGATATTTAGGGAAACCCCATTTTGCACTTTTTTTGCTTTTTCTGTAATCCCCACCACCTTTTGGATATTTACGGTGCATTGTGTTTCATATCTTTATTAACTTTTGATGATTACCCATGCCCCTCCAGTTCACTTTAATCCTACTCATCTCTATTTTTGCTTATGTCTCCCTGATTCACCTCTTCTCATCTCATTTTCTTAATGTCTGTCGTTTGGTTTGCTCTAAAAAATTGCGTTACATGTATATTATTGCCATATTTTTGTTTCATGAATGGGCCTACATTTTTGGTTGTTATTATATGTCTTCATTGATACGCTCTGTATGTCCTAGCACGTATTATCCATTATATTTCACTGTTTGCTATATTTTGTAATCATGCCCCATATCTGTAACTTACTTTATTTATTGTCTCAAGTGTTCCATCATATTTTTGTTTGATGAAGACTTATCGGACCATCTAAAAAAATTTTCATCACTTTAAAAAACAAAATAGCTGTCTTCTACTGAAATGCCCTAAATTTGGATGCTGAGGATCGCCTAAATTATAAAAAAAGAAAATCCAGTTTTCAGAAGATTAAATTGATAATATGGTCAGCTTCTATCACTTGCTGAAGGAAAACCAAAAAGGGTTGGTTAAGCTGCTTCCAAGCTGCCCAAATAAAGTTTCCCAATAAAGGGTAATATTTTGAGATTTATTTGAGGCTGACAAAATTGATAGCTTTAGGATTACTAAATAAAGAATGAAAGGAGCTCCAGATTCATGTGCTAATATAAGAAAAAATATCTGTCATGAGTTCTTGTGGTTAACATGGAAAGGAGAGTTCCATGAAGTGTTACTTTCTTCACTAGCCAAGATAAGAAGTTTGGAAAGTAGTTTTAGTTGTTAGAGTTTAGGTAATTAGTAAGTTCTGTATTTTTTTTTGGTAGTTTTGTGTATAAATACCCATTAAGGGAATGAACAAACAAAACTTTCTAGCTACTTTCTCTTTTTTATATCCTATCAAAGTAATGTTAGCGTCCATTTTTCAACCTTTTTTTTAATCTTTTATTCTTATTATTATATCTGATTTTTTCTGCTTACTCTCAAAAGCGGTAGCCATCATAAATGTTGAAATATAAACTAGTATTGTCCAAGGAGAATTTCAGGGGTCATAAATCTCTAATCATTTCAATTAAAAATGCTATCTGAAGTAGTCTCAGTTTGTGAATCCTTTTCAGAAAGGAGAAGGAAAAATTTGCCAGCTTGTTAATTCTTCTCCAGATTTGAACGGCCCAAGCTTTTGGACGAAGTACATGTCATGAGCATGTCATGATTGTGAAAATTCATAATGTTTAAAATTAGTGGACTCTGCATATTCTTCACAATCACAACGAAGCCTTATAAACATTTAAGTAGACTTATTCGGAAGTTAAAGATGCTACTCTCATCTATGACGGAAAGAAGACTCAAAAACCAAATAATGTATATCATTGAATATTTTAATGTAATGAAAGTTTATTCATTGGAATTAGAATATATATATTTTTCTCGCAGAACTTAATATTGAATTCAACTTAATTTGAATTAAATTTTGAGCAGAGAAAGTGCACCATTTTAAATGAGGTTTTCTTCCACGTGAGCCGAAGTGGGAAGATGGATGATAATGTTTAACAAATCTAGCTCTGAAATGTTGGTCATGACAATAGAAATTAAAGATAAGGCGCTTATTATCATTAATCCTTCTCAAACAAGCATGCATGCATGTATATATATATATCTCAAAAGCCAATAAAGGGTAATATTTTGAGATTTATTTGAGGCTGACAAAATTGATAGCTTTAGGATTACTAAATAAAGAATGAAAGGAGCTCCAGATTCATGTGCTAATATAAGAAAAAATATCTGTCATGAGTTCTTGTGGTTAACATGGAAAGGAGAGTTCCATGAAGTGTTACTTTCTTCACTAGCCAAGATAAGAAGTTTGGAAAGTAGTTTTAGTTGTTAGAGTTTAGGTAATTAGTAAGTTCTGTATTTTTTTTTGGTAGTTTTGTGTATAAATACCCATTAAGGGAATGAACAAACAAAACTTTCTAGCTACTTTCTCTTTTTTATATCCTATCAAAGTAATGTTAGCGTCCATTTTTCAACCTTTTTTTTAATCTTTTATTCTTATTATTATATCTGATTTTTTCTGCTTACTCTCAAAAGCGGTAGCCATCATAAATGTTGAAATATAAACTAGTATTGTCCAAGGAGAATTTCAGGGGTCATAAATCTCTGATCATTTCAATTAAAAATGCTATCTGAAGTAGTCTCAGTTTGTGAATCCTTTTCAGAAAGGAGAAGGAAAAATTTGCCAGCTTGTTAATTCTTCTCCAGATTTGAACGGCCCAAGCTTTTGGACGAAGTACATGTCATGAGCATGTCATGATTGTGAAAATTCATAATGTTTAAAATTAGTGGACTCTGCATATTCTTCACAATCACAACGAAGCCTTATAAACATTTAAGTAGACTTATTCGGAAGTTAAAGATGCTACTCTCATCTATGACGGAAAGAAGACTCAAAAACCAAATAATGTATATCATTGAATATTTTAATGTAATGAAAGTTTATTCATTGGAATTAGAATATATATATTTTTCTCGCAGAACTTAATATTGAATTCAACTTAATTTGAATTAAATTTTGAGCAGAGAAAGTGCACCATTTTAAATGAGGTTTTCTTCCACGTGAGCCGAAGTGGGAAGATGGATGATAATGTTTAACAAATCTAGCTCTGAAATGTTGGTCATGACAATAGAAATTAAAGATAAGGCGCTTATTATCATTAATCCTTCTCAAACAAGCATGCATGCATGTATATATATATATCTCAAAAGCAACCTATGCCCTAATTTCTGCAAGAAAAAAGGATATATCAAAGATAACTATTAGAAACTTCTCCAAAAGCCTCAATATTATGGTGAAAATAAAAAAGGCCAATTTAAAGGGTCATACTATCTCATTGAACTAAAAGAAATCAACTTAGAAAAAATTGATAAGCTAAGAAATTTTCTTAATTCTTTGAAAAAATCTTTCTGGTCATGCTCTCTAGAGCAAAATTGTACAAATTTTTGTACTTTTAATTCCTCAAATTATTTCCCGATAACTCATAAAATAAATTATGCAGCCATTGATGACCTAAAAATCATGTCAACATTTTTCAGTCGTACAAATATCATCACAGTAACATAAAAAATATAGGTAGCTGATAGCTCTTTAAACCATTATTGTAGGCCTAGGGAATCTCTTGTTCTTTTCTATACATGCAACAATATGCTACATGTGCCTAGCTTAGCATTGAATATTTTTTTGAATTATAAATTCACTGATGACCACATCTGTATAATGATAGTTTTACTAATTCATGTACATTTTAATACGCCACTACGAGGAAGATGATTAGTCAAGTAAGAGAAAAAGATGAGCTATACTTTCTTAATGACAATGATCATTTATCTTGCTCCTTATATATTCTATATACAAAGACATCATTTTGGATCATCATTATAAACTAGGGCATCCTTTTCTTATTTCCCTCTCTTTTTGTAAATTTTAATGTTGAACTTTTTCATTCTAAGACTTATGAAATTATTAAACATCGTAGAGCTCTGTCTTGGAAGTGAATTTAGATCCTCTTCATCTTTTAGGGTTATTCACTTGGAGATATGGGAATTTTCAAATTCTTAGTATTTTTAGTGCTAAATGATTTTCATATTCATTGATAATGTTCCTCTTATGTTGCATGGATACAAAATGGGGACATAGACATAACAAAACACAAATAGCAGACCTATTTATCATTGCAAATATATGACACGAACACGCATTAGATGCATCATTTCGATAAAAATTATTAAAAAATATATAAAAATTTAACAAATAATACAAAAGAGAAAAATTACTAACATTATCTTTTAAAAACTAAGTGCCCATTTTGCATCAATTTTGTTTTTTGTTTTAGTTGATATAATTTTTTTATATTTTAAATTTTTGTTTTTAATAGTAAATCAAATTGTATTTAAAATAATAAAAAACGTATAAAAAGATAATTTAAGTGTTTTTAAAAACAACCTCAATCAAACATGTTTTAATTTAAATCAAAACAATAAAAAAATAAAATAAAACCAAAAAATAAAAAATAAAAACAAAAGTGAACCCAAATCATTCTTATGACGTTATAGATAATTGTTTATTTTATGAAATACAAAAAGTAAGAATATATTATTTTGTATTACATCAATGTTTGAATGTTCTTAATTAACTTTTCTTTGAACAACAATAACAAGATTTTATCCCACTGGAGTTCTACATGAAACATTTTCTCTATTGTGTCTTATTGAATGTCATATTTTCCATTAATTCTAATAAATTAAGATCATTTTTATACAGAGTGCCCAAGTTTTTTTAGGTCTACCTATATCTTTCTTAACATAAATCAAATTTAAAGCATCTACTCTCCTAACAGGGTCATCAAATAGTCTACATCTAATGTGACCAAACCATTTATGGCAATGCTCTCTAATCTTGTTTGTCACTAGAGCTACTCTAACTCTTTCAAGGATATATTCATTTCACATTTGGTTTCTAAGTGTAAAGCCACTCATCCACCTTAGCATTCTCATCTCAAAAACACTTAATTTTAGCTGGTCCTTTATGGGTCAATTGATTTAGTACA